CATACTAGGAATTGCTTGCAGAGTATTATGTTATGCTCCTTAATCGGGAGCATATGTGCCTCGTCGCGCAGGTGATGTTAAGCCAAACTTAAGAAGGAATCCTGTCGCTGTCTGCAGCTTCATCCACTGCGTCCTACTAGTTCCCGGTAACCACACAGGCGCTGCATAGTTCAGAACCGGCCGGCCAGTTGCCTTGTACGTTGCCAAAAACGTTTCTTTGTCTTTGCCCCAGGTGCTCCCGGCTAGCGACTTGAGGACATTGTTGGGGCTTTGTACTTTATTGACAATTGCGGTTGTATGCGCCGAGAAGGAGAGCAGACCTTCGAAGGTTACTCTGAGCATCTTCGGGTTATTCAACGTCGGAATTGGTTCGTCATCGACGAGAATACCCAGTTGCAGTCTGACCTCCTTCGTTCAAGTGGTGAAAAGCGTTGCTGAGGATTTTGTAGGGGAGAGGGTTAGGCTCCGTGCAGTGACGAAGCGAGAAAGCTCGGCGAGATAACCATTATCGGGCAATCGTCAGCATAAGAGACAATCGAGACTACCTCTGATGGTTGAGGCAGCTTAGAAATGTAAAAGTTGAACAGTAGTGGGCAAAGATTTTTCCTAGGTTTGCTCGATTTGTCTCTAAAGATCACTGACGAGTTTCGACCACTCAGGTAATTCGCCGCCCACCGTTTGTCTTCTAGAAGTATTACTTGAATAGTTCTCTAACAGGGGGGTTTCGGTTAAGGACACGAGTTATCTGGGCGTTTATGGCGTCAAGTGCTGTTGTTGTGCTGTGCACTTTACGGAACCCATGTCGATGCTTCGCTGGGGTTCAGTAATTTGTGTAGTTCGGGAGCAGAAGGGTCTCTAGTGTCTTCGCAACCGGGGAAAGGAGAGCTACCAGGCGAGAACACTCTCCTTTGTTGGACGGTTTCCCCGGTTTAAGCAGTGGAACCACTCTCCCCGTTTTCCAGATGTCTGGTACGATGAGAGTGGCCATAAACAGGTTGAGGACCTTGGCTAGGTTGTCCACTCCCGCAGGACCCAAATTTTTGAGCATCAGCATGCAAATTCCGTCGGAGTCAATGGCTTTGGAGACTTTTGCCTTCCCGATGGCTATCCTTTCGTCGTTGCTGCTGGAAAAAAGAAGCGCACTTGGTGTTTGTAGTTTGTGCAGCCTTCTGGCCACTCTACGTTTGGCTTTGTCCGCCGGAGGATGTAGTATGAACTGTCGGCTAAAATAGCTCGCGCATCGCTCCGTATCGGACGAAGCGTGGTCCCCAAAAGATATTTCAACTCTGTCGTTATGCTTCGTCGGATTGGACAATGACCTCACGGTTGACCAAAGCTTTCTCACACCAGAGGTGAAGTTACAGGTCTTCAGATGGTCTTCCCACTTCACTAGTTGCCGAATCTCCGAGTTGGGAACCCCTTATACGGGGATTTTTGTTATTACATTTTTCGTTACAGTTTTGAATTTGGAAGGAATTGGTTTTAACTTTTGTTCACTCTACATAGACACAAAATTATTCACTCTGTAGAGTACTCAATGGAAAAATTTTCATGTTCACTCTTTCGAGGTGTTCGTAGCATCGGGTGTTCACTCCAGCCAGATAACACTGTACCATGTTCTGACCGACAACGAAAACACTTTGAAAACGTGTTTTGGGATTGTGGGCTAAAGGCTGTTCACACCGGCTGTTAGTGTTTTCGTTGACATTTTTTACATCCTCTGATTACAGTTTTACTACACAAAAACAAAACCAAAATGCTTTTCCCTCATTTTCTTTTCATTAGCAACCTCTTTGATTCTTATTTAACTTTTGCCAGCCAATTAACAATAAATCCGAAATGGCGTATTAAAGATGATAAAATATGACTTCCACTTCGACAAATAATCTAAAAAAACTAGTGAAGACAGAGAACTTAGATAGATAGAGAAGGTGCAAACTGAAAGTGGAAACTATTCGCGGACGAAAAATTAACAGCGTTATGGCGCATTTACATAGTATGAAGTCATATGAACTGTTGATACGTTAAAATAGAGGGACTACATGTTCTAATGAGGAATTCAATGATATCGAGTGGGATGCATATAATAAATTTTTTCATATGAAAAGTTATGGGGAGATACTGTAAACATACTGTTGTGATACTGTTAAGCATATGAAATTATAGCAAGTTGAATTTTCATACATCTTCCCATAAAAAGTTTAACAGATGCAGAGATACCAAGGGGGGTTTTTCCCATTTTGATGCCTTTTTAATATAAAAACCCACCGAATAGGAGGAAAGCGGCAACTCCGCCATTCACGTACATGTCAAAAGTATGAATTTTAAAAATTAAAAACAATAAACAAACAAATTCAAAACAAAGAAATTCTTTGTACTAGAACTTTTTAAATTGAAGCCACTCACGTTTAGTGGACAATAAAAATACGAAGAACTATGATAACAAACTTACAACAAGACATTACAGAACATTTTAATGAGTTTTATATCACGTTTAAGTAAAAATAAGCCTATATTTTCCAAGCTGGCAAAGAAATGAAAATGTGTATTTTTTGTTGTTTACACAAAGATTTGCCAAATATACATATAAGTCAAAATTATAGAAGGCATGTATACTTCTCCCTTTCATTTTTTCGTACAGTTTATGCCATCGTACAGTTCTATAACAGGCTAACCTAATATTCGCGGCTTGCGTTTTGGTACGCATGCCGTCGAATTCGTTTTTTTGTGTCACCCGAAATTGACTTGCATGCGTTTGCATTTGATTTCATTGAGCGAAACGTCAAATCAAAATGTCACGCAGAACAAAAATTGGAAATTGAGTTAGCTTCATACGCACGCCGTTCAATTTCGATTGATCTCATACAAGTTGCATGTGCATGAGAAATTTTTGACAATAAATTGGCGGCGTGCGTGAATATTAGGTTAGCCTGTAAGTAACGTAACTCTTCTTCTTACCGTTTTTTATGGCAGGCTGTAGGCATGATACAAAAAAGAAGGTAGTTTCAATAAACAACTTTTTGATTAAAAAGCAGATTTTTGACAATTGCTCAATTGTAAAAAAATCGAAGCGGCGTTACCCAATTGTAGGTTTTTTGGTGTGGGAAATTTTATATCCTAAATTTGGGATTATAAAGAAAATAGTTGTATTAATAGATACCTTTTAAAAATAATCAATATCTTGTCTTAAAAACGTTTAAATTTTACATTAAATTCGATAACGACTTGCCAAATCATTATTTTAATATTAATACAATTTTAGTGAGCATATTTTAAAATTTTTTTAGTGTCCTCATGTCATCTCATTCTTTCACAATGTAGTTTTCTATATCGGATACGATGATTTTGATGTAATTCAGACACTGAAATTACACATTTCGATGTGTTATTTAATACATATTGTCTTTGTCCATTTAACAGCAAATGGAATTTACTTTAGGACCCATGGGCCTAAAATTTTTCCAGCAACACATATTGTTTTCACATGAAATTTTGACACACCCAAAATTGAAGTATAAAATAAATAGATACAAATAAATTTTCAACCAAGCTGATTTGTGTAGTCCAGGGGCGTCTTTAGTAAATGTTTGGAGGCTGTTTTTTTTAATATATCCCATCTTATTATATATTTCTTAGCTTTTCTACATTCTGAGAAGTTGAGAGAATGAAGTCTAATATTCTTTTTGGGTCAACTATGATGTTTGATTTCATTTTTTGGAATCATTAGTTCATTTCGCTTGAGCAGTCGCAATGCTCATACCGGCTGTACCGATTTTTTGGAAATTTCGGACACAAATTTTCCAAGAATGGTTATAGGCTAAAACAAACCCGATATCTAAAGGGCGTGCATAAAGTGCATATCTCTGGAATTATTTGTGGTAGAGTCCTGGAACTTTGTATGGATATATATATGGATTTATTGGAAAATGCGGCGTGCCACCGTAGAACTTGGAAATAGAGGTAAATGAAATCAATCCCAAACCTATGAAAAATGGGGGTATATGAAAACGATCTCGAAGCCATTGAAAACTAGCGGTATAAACCAAATAAACTAAAATTCTTGTGACGCATAGATACCTCTGGAAGCATTTATTTTTCCAACGGAAATATGTACAGGAAAACGGGCGCGACACCTTCTGGAAAGTAACATGATCACAGGGTGTATCCCGAGAACCATTTTAAGCTAAACCTTCAGGGATTACTTTCTCGCCAAGACCCATAGGCATAAGCTGAAACTGCGTCGCAAGTTTTATGATCGGCTTAGGTAAGGTTTAACCACTTAACCCCCCTTTGTTTTCGTCGCTACTGAATTCTATAAACTGTCAGCTTTCACACAATTTAAAATGTACATGTAAGAACAAACTATTTTTAAATCGACAAAAGATTAATAAGAAAATTTGAAGGATTTTAGATATTGGGTATGGTAGCACGAAATGTCACAATCTGCTTAATTGTCAGGTTGTTAATATGGCGACGAAAAAGTGACAATGCAACTACCTTGTTTTTTGTATCATGGGCTGTAGGTGTGATTTTGGCAGGCTCTAGGTGTGTTTTTGCTAGTGTATTGGTGTTTTTGCTTGAGAGTATTGGTGTGGTTGCTAGCCAAAATGACGTTAGAATGGGTTTTGTGAAGCACCTTCAGGGTTTTGTGAAGCTGTTGCATCATTTTTTGAAGTTTTAATTTTCGAACCGGGTTGTCGTGTTATACTTTTTTCAAGTTTAAATTCTTTAGATTTTTTGTTTTGACATTGTAACTTAAATGCGAATTGTTGCACAAAAATAATTTAAAATATGGTAAAAAAATTCAGTTTTATGAAAAATATTAGTTTTAAATTTTTTGAGCTCCGAAATAAATTTTTATAAGCAAAAGAAACATCTTTTGCTGTGTAATTTTTAATTTCGTACTATTGTGATAAGGTAAGGCAACCCTCTTGGCATTTATTTCAGATATTCAAATTGAAAAAATAAGACGCAGGCATTCTTTTATTCTTTCAATACATAAATTGAATATTTTTAATAAAATATACATATTCTTCCTGAACTACAGATTTCGCTCAAGTGGTACCGTGTAGTAACAATTCAATAGGTAAGTTATTTTAATGTATGCCATTTACATATGTATATACATATGTACATATTTATTTGAACATAGTCGTTATAACTTTTTGTTTGCATCTTTTCAGAAGCAAAATGGTGAACAAAAGTTGCATCGTGGGATGTCCATTGGGATGTCCTTTATATGTATTCCCTCCGTTGGGAGAAATGACCAGGTGAGTGATATCAGTTTTATATGTACATACATATATACATATGTATATTCAAATAATTATAATTATATTAAAGTAAATATTGCACGTAAAATAATAAAGAGGATTGATTTCAAACTTATGTTTTTGGAGATTTCAAGCTAATAGATAACTGATATACCCAAAAATTGCGAATGTACCTATGTACTTTTCTACTTTTTTTTTGGTCATGCATATATTTAATTCTATTTATTGTTGAACGTGCAATATGTAGAAAGTATTATTTGCAAATAATGCAAAGTGATAAATTTTGCCGCATAATATCGAATCGAGAGCGTAATAACATGGGAGAGCTGCAAATTGTTGGTAGTGAAAGTTTTGCTAGCAGAAATTAGCTAGCAGAAGAACAATAATAAATATCGAAAGCTACCATTTGTTGAATTGGTTAAGCGTAAACAAAAGTAAAAAGAGTGGAAAATAAAATTAATTAACTAATTGATGATAAACAGGATTGTATAAATGCTTGTGCGCAAAGCAAAGAATTTAAAACTGATTTATTAATTGTAAAATGTTTACAGCGGGAATATCAAAGCAATGCAACTGTTTATTCGTAAGTTTTTACTAGTTTTGCGCATGATAAAAATATAGTAAGGTAGAACCGCTGAGAGTCACTTTTAAAATTCTTGACGTTTCCAAACAATTTAATTTTTAAATTTACTCACAAACTCACACACACATTTTCATTTTCAATCTCAAGCAACAACAATTTCGAACAATTTCAATTTTTTATTTTCACTTTTATATGATTTTAAAATGTTGGCAAACTTCAAAAAAAAATCATGGCCGACAAATTGAGAGAACGGTTATACCTTGCTATGTTTTTATCATGGTTTTGCGTTCAATAAATTTTTCTGCCAGTTTTCTCTTTTTCTAAATTTTACGCTCTATTTAGCTTTTACGCTCTCGCTGGAATTTTTTACTGGAAATGTTACTATACACACCTATTATTTCGCGCAAGCAAAAAATAAAGAAGATATCAATGGTTAAAATTAATTTTTTGATTATTTTAAATATTAATGTCTTCTGAACTACATAACTTATTAAAAAACTAATGATGGCAAAGTAAAGGTAATTAATGGGTCTTTTACTTGAGAACATAATTTTTGCGTTTTTTTTATATATATTTTTAAGCCAGAAATACTTAAAAAAAAAAACAAGTATACTCTTTTAAATGGCGTTTATTTAAAATTGGTTTTAAAAAGGGTTATAATACATAAATCGAGTAAAAGGTATTTAAATTATCTTTAAATAAACATCAATACTTTTTTGATCGGTGAAGTAGTTTCCGAGATATTATAAATGTAAAAAATATGAAAGAAATATATGTATGTACATAAAACAATATTTTTTTGTAATGTTCGATTTTTTACAGAAACCAATTTTCCAATTAACGGACCAGAACGGGTATCGTTATAACCAATTTTTTTACTTTATTGTTTTTTAACACATCATTTTCGATTTCGCTTTACTAATGTAAATACATTTAACCATCTCCCTTTGCCCGTGATTTCCTATCGATTTCCACTTAACATAAAATTTCAATTTCGCTTTACTAATTTATTTTTGACTATGTTTTGGTTTTCAATTTTAACTTTCATTAAACTAACAACTTTAATTGGACTAGCAAGTGTTTACTAAATTTGGTTTTGGAAAATCTTTGCTTATATTTAATATGATGTATTAATAGGTTTCTATGATAAATGCTAGAAGTTCCAAATTTTCCGCCAGTATGCCAGCAAAAACTTCCAACTTCTAGGAGTTAGTACACACACCCCATATTTCCTATACTAAAACTGCTTTGTTGTATTTTATTTGTATTTTATTCTATTTATATATGTACTATATTACCATTGTATATGCATTAATTAGTATACTAATTTTGCATATGGTATTTAGCTTTAATGCTAATTACTTCTTTTCAATAGGCGGCGTAAATGGCTCCAGTTGTTGGGTGTGGTGGGCCCAACAGCGAAACATATTTTCGCCTGCCAGAGGCATTTTTCCCATCAGATGAGAAGTAGCCGAGGCCTTCACAAATGGGCAGTTCCCGATATTAATTTAAGATTATATTCGCCCGCAGTGACAGCTAGTAGGGAAAATGAGATTACTGATAGGAATGTATCAGGCAGTTTAGTTGAAGACGTACAAGGAGTCATAGAAGTAGGAGTTGAAGATTTTCAGCCAAGTTTCGATTCTATTATAGAGATTGATAGCGAAATTTTGGATTCGAGCGCTGACCCTGTAATAGAACTTGGCGTTGAGGATTTTCTGCCGATACCTTTTTCGCCCGAAGCAGCAGATAGCGCCTCGACTTCAAATTGCGAATTATTTGAGGTAGAGGCATCCTTTGAAAAATCCCTTCAATCCCACCAGGATGAAGAAGACACACCTTCTTCCTCTTTAGGTAGTTCCAATTTAGTTC